AGGCCTAAATAAAATGTTTTTAACTGTGTACCAGTTTAACGTTGAGTATTATTTATGATTTTAACTTTATACACAAGTGCCAAAATACTATAAGAATATACCTGTTGTCATTTTGAACATAGAAAATTATGCAATAATTTGGTCTAAGAAAAGTTTTAGTTTGAAAGATGCAAAAGTTGAAACGATATAAATTTGGTGTGAATACCTTCGTCCAAGAATATATTAAAGAAGACAACTTCAGCATTTTTCTTCTCATAGTCATATGTAATTGTAAGACAACTTCTCTCTTCATCGACGTCACGAATATTGATAATAATCTTCTCAAACAATTACACAACTGTATTAAATAGTACATTTAAGCACAATAATATTTAAATATGAATCGACTATCCTATATCTACGTGCAAATGTTATAACTTACCATTAGTATTACTTTTCACTTTATTACTTGTTACAGTGTTACATTATTAATATTACTGTTACAAATACCATATTCAATAGGATATTGGGCCTAAAACAGTAACACTAACAGTAGTACTATAATAATATTACTCTTTCATTATTTGTCAAAACAATTTCTTCGAATAAGCTAGCATTTCAAAGTACAATTACTTATAATAAATTATGCACAACACTTTAACTCTACATAACCATGCATCAACTTATATATTAATTACCTAATTTAACGTAAAATGGAATATCCATACCCCGCAAAACTTTATAATTTTCCCAATCATCGACACACTCAGGTACAGTACATTCTCCAGTTCAAAGATGTACTGAAAAACTTATGACAGACAAAATTAACCAATTTATATTTTATAGGACTTGTATTCGAAATATAAATTTTATCTTTCAATCCAAATGTCAATACATAATAGTATTTAATAATAACATATCAAATGATCGTGTGAATTTTGAATGACAATTAAACTACCAAAAACTAATATCAAATATGCATTTTTAAGATAAAACACGCATACAGTTCTCGCACTATTGTTTTCAAATAGAGTATCTAACAAGCATCTTTTCGTTTTTCTTCTTTTGCTTTTTGTTCAAAATCAAAACAGTAATACTTATAATAACAATAAACATATTTTTCATTTATGTTAAAAATAATGCCCGGCGGTTTTGTCAAAAAGATAATGTATAAAACTGTTATTTCGTGAACTAAAATTGTTAAATCCAGGGTTTCATAAAGCTGAGATAGACTTTTCATTTGTTTCAAAATAAGCTTAGATAGTGTAATGGATTCCTGATATGTGTTCTATGAACATCTCATATCTTGATTTCTTATTGAGACATGGATAGGACTCAGCATAAAGCCCGAAATATGGTCTAAAAAAAATCAAACCACGAAATGTCTTGAAAACAAAATAATGAAAGGAATAGACCCGAGAGAAAAGAAATTGAACAATAGAGTTATGTAATGAAATTATAAAATGATTCGAGAAAGACTACCTGACTTAAAATCCAAGGGCTCCAGCAATAAAAAAAAATTCAAGATTTCCAAAATTCCTATAATATCATTTGTTTTATCAAGGTTTGCGAAAGTGGGCAACTTTCATAACAACATTTTTGAAGAAGTGAAATTTTATTTATTTATTTATTGAAATGAAAAAAATTAGCACACACACACATATATATATATATTGTTACGTCTCCGTTTGTTAAATTGTTTTTCCGTAACTTCGTTCCAATGAAACTTTAGCGACACAAGTCCTTACTTAATAAAACTGGTTTATACTTTCCGAATATAACTTTACGATACACTTAATTTCAATATTCGCGCTAAAACAAATAACGAACGAACGTTAACTTCAACAATACGTCTCTCTCTGACTCCAGTTCAATTACTCATTACCTACCACGTCACGTTGTCACCCTCTTATATATACCAGACTACCCTATCTAGTAAATGCTAGGGCATTCG